AACTAGGGCCAATTTAGAGAGGAGCCAGTTAACCTATCAGCATGTATTTGGGGAGGTGGGAGGAAACTGAAGTACCTGGAGGAAACCCACGGGACAGGGAGAATATGTGAACTCCAGGCAGGTAGTGGTTGGGATTTGAACCAATGACCCTAATGCTGTCAGGCAGAAGTGCTAACCATTTAGCCACTGTGCTGCCATTTATTGCCATGTTGTGTGTATCCAGCTATAGTGTTTGGTGTATATCAAGCTTTAATGTTTAGCCCTCCTGCCCTGCAGCACTGGGGTCATAGATTGGAACTGTAACCAAGACACTACCTGCATGGAGTTTGCATTTCCTCCCTGTGTACCAAAGACATGCTGATAGATTAATCGGCTCCTCTCTAATTTGGCCCTAACCCTAGGTTCACACCTAAGCATTTTCCGTAGAGTTTTGCAGAAACGCACTACAGTCCATTTAACATAATTTCCTATGGGACACGTTCACATCTCCGCATTTTCAGCCGGTGCGTTTTTTAGAAAGGGTCAGGGACTTTTTTGAACGCAAAAATTTTAGTTTTTCGTTCTATAGACTTCAATGGAAACACTGCAGAAGAGCCTGTAGTGCGTTTTTGCTGCATTTTTTATGTGTTTTGCCGCATTTTTTATGCATTTTGTGTTTTAAATCTGCCTAGCAACAAGAAAAAAAACCCCCGCAAAACGCATGTGCAAAAACACAATGCAAAACGCACTGCAGAAACGGATCAAACGCAAACTTCATAGGTGTGAACCTAGCCTAGGTGTATGTAAGCATGTGAGCTAGGGACCTTAGATTGTAAGCTCCTTGAGGTCAGAGACTGATGTGAATGTAAAGTACTGAGTACATTTCCTTGCTATATAAATACCTGTAATAAATAAAGGTTGTACCTCTGCTAGTGTAGCGAATCTGCGTTATCTATGTGAAGTTGTGTGATTGGATTGCTCCATTGTGAAATCTGACCCCCCCCCCATCTGAATGGAGCAATCAAGGTGGTCAGTCAAAGCAAAGACATGAGAGTGGCGAGCAGACTACGCTCTGTCATCAGCCAGTCTAGTGTCCCCAGCAGTTCATTCGACTGTCACTTGCTGCATGACCTTCCTGCACAATGTCACAATTGTATTGGGGAGATGCATTAGAGCCGTGTATCCATCGTCATGTGACAAATTCCCATTGCCCGAGGCTATGTATGTGATTACAGTCAGAGCATTACATAGGGATTGCAGGATTTTCCTGAAGAGTCAACCTGTGCCGTTTAGGATCTACGTTGTAAGCTGGGGGTCTGTGAGTCTTCCCTGGGCAAAGAGGGCTCAGCATAGGGATCAGCGTGGTATCAGGTATGTGTAATCAGCTCCTAGCTTTCTGAGCACCAGTCATTACATATCTACTATAAAACCATTATAAATTTGTGCCTAGGGTCACCGGATACCGGGGGGAGCAGGGGCGGACTGACCATTGGGGAACTCGGGCGGTGCCCGAGGGCCCGGGGTCAGTAGGGGCCCCAAGAGATGTCCCTGGTACCTTTCATAGGCTTTTTTGGGTGTGGTTTGAGTGTGGGCAAGGACACAGGGGCCCCATGATCCCCTATTGCCCAGGGGCCCCATGAGTTGTCAGTCCACCCCTGCAGGGGAGAGGTTACCACCGAATTAGGCTTGACCTCATTAATCACACCGTCTTCAACAAATCAAATTCAAACTTTTATGCTCACCTCTGAATTTGATTGGAACGTACAGATTAAGCTACATGCACACGGCAGTGTGCAATATGCTGCTAGAAGTTGGCAGAAAAATGTCATATATGTACGCGTGTCTAAGCATGTTTACAGGCACATGTGAATGACTAGAACAGGGTTTCTCAACCAGGGTTCCATGGGAGCCTAGGGTTCCTCCAGAGGTTGCTCGGGGTTCCCTGAGCAATGAGAAATTTCTGCCTCTTATGCCCCGTACACACAATAAAAAAATCGTCTGAAAAATTTAGTGGAACCACTGATTTAACTATTTTCTCTTCGTTGATGAGCAGGATGTTTTAATCGATGACGATATTGTGAATGAAAAAATCCGGTTGAACAACATTGAAAAATGTTGTTGTTTTGCATACGAACGACCGATTTTCTATGCGGTGGTATGACGGTCCTACGAAAAAAATCTATCAAGCACTATCACGCATGAGCGGAAACAGAAGATAACCTGGAATCTTCATAAACACGAATGAAAAATTCAAATGTTAAAAGTAGATTGTCCTAATGAGATAATGAAACCAGAATTCTGCAGATTATATTTTATGTATCACTATTTATGTATATAGATAATGTAATAAACGATATTATACTCATTGCTGGTAATTGTTGTGTATATCGCTCGTTCTGGCCGGAAGGGTGTGGCTACAAGGTCACACGCACACTGCATCACATCCACTTGTACGGAAAAACATCAACACTACGTATTGCCCGACGAACAATTTTTTTTTTTAGATTGGTTAATGTGGGCCACGATTTCGACCAACGATCGGTCGATTTTCTAATCATGTATTCCCACCTTTAGAGAAGTTTCCACTGACACCATTGAATTTTTAGCTATCTATAAGGGGGAATTCTTCCCAGGGACCACAAGTGTACGGAACATTCTTCCCACCAGGGCGGATCTAGGGGGCTACTAGGATGGGCTATGCCCCCCCATATTTTAGCTGTGCTCCTCCCAGGTCTCTGAGAGTGCATCCACTAATCCATGAGCCAGTCTGAAGCAGACAATTGATGTAAGGCAGCATTCTGATGGTAACAATCCATGTAAGGGGGGGACTCTGATTAGGACACTTGATGTACGGGGGCATTCTGATGGGGGATGGGGACACCTGATGTAAGGGGGCACTCTGATGGGGGTCATCTGAGGAAAGGGGACTTTGATGGGAACCTGATGTAAATGGCGACTCTGATGGGGACCTGGAAGTAAGGGCGGCTCTGATGGGGACCTGGATGTAAGGTGGGGTCAAATGGGGACCCAGATGTGAAGGAAAACTCCTAATATTGAGTCTGAGGGGGACTGTGATGTAAAGGGGGACCTCGATGGGGACACTGATGTAAGGGGGGACTCTGGTGGAGACACCAGATCTAAGGGGGCACTTTGATAGGAACCTGATATAAAGGGGGACTCTAATAGGGTCATCTGATATAAGGGGGCACAGGTTTTTTTAATAATCTAAAACAGCCTAATACATACTGGTGTTTCCCAAGCTGTGACACTACGTGAAAAACTGTCAGTGACTCACACAGTGTTGACATTATGCCCCCTGACTTTGTTTTACTGCACCCCCAGATCAGGCAGGCTAGATCTGACCCTGATTCGCAGTGACCATCACACTAATGTATCATGAGTTTTAGATATAGTCATTTTTAGCAGGAGATTCCTGAGAATGGAAACCTATTTCAAGGGTTCCTCTGTGCTGAAAAGATTGGGAAAGGCTGGACTAGAGTATTAATTTATTCTAGGCACTAGAATTAAGTTACGCACACATGCGCCCGTTCAGACACATACATGAGCTCCTCTCCAAAGGCAGCTTTGGGGACTTTTTGTATGCCTCTAAACAAGCTTGGACTGGCCATAGGGGCTGCTGGACCACATGTTCTAAGGATGGATGATCAGACAGACACTCCACCATGTCCCTCCCCCCCTTCCCCACTCTTCACACCATCACACACATGGCAAGGATGAACATGGAGCGGTGTGCCAGCATCATAGACATGTCATAAATACATACATGAAGCGTCACCCTGGGATACAACTCCCATGGTGCACTATTGCCTCTGGCTGCAGCCTCTGTCTATGTGTTGGTGACCTCAATAAAGTTGCACGGAAAGACAACCCATTGCCATAGGGACGCTACACGTGCCATGTTGCTGGAGGAGACCGGAAGCGGTCCAGGCCAGGGTTGAAAGAAGTCGCTGCCGAGCGCCACGTTTGTTGTGGATCGGTGTCAATGCTGCGGCAGAAGGAGTGTTGGTTGTAGGTGTCAGAGGCAGGCTGGTGGACATGGAAGGCTCCACTTAAAGAGCAACTCCAGGGAAAGAAACGTATCCAGTGCCCAGTGCTATGTTTTATTTAAATAGTGCCATAAGGATTTTCCTAAATTTCCAGGTATTTTTGGAGCCCATGTACCTCTCTGCCTGTTAAAGTGTATCTAAAGGGAAAACGTTTAAGTTTTGGATAAAGTAGAGAGGGAGCAGAACCCGTCAGGTTTTTATTATTATTATACAGGATTTATATAGTGCCAACAGTTTGCGCAGCGCTTTACAAAATGAAGGTAGGCATTATAGTTACAATACAATTTGGTACAAGAGGAAACAGAGGGCCTGCTCATTACAGCTTACTATATATCACATATATCATGCACCTGGCTCTCATCCGCAGGTCACTGTCTTCTGCAACTTGCGGCAATGATGATTGAAGCAGGCTAAATATAACTAAAAGACATCGAGAAACCGGTAGTTGTAATTATTTGTCATTTGTTTTTTCAGTCAGTCTAAAATACCAAGGCCTATTTTTTGTCCCAGTCTGGGTCTGTCTCTAAATGCTGCTCTTAAAATACAGATTTAATATGCATGACCACATAGGCTAAAGCTGGCCATACATGGTTTTAAATTTGGCCTGACAAAATTCGATCCATGTATGATCGTTCCCATTCAAGTGGAGCTGATCTAGTGATCAACTTGTTCTAGATGGGACTCTTGGTATATTTTCACTTGATTAGCGCTTTCTGGAGGAGCTCCACTGCCAGGATACAATAGCACAACGGGGAGGATTCCCCCATCCACCTCAAACTTTAAATCCTCTCTTCCCCTTTCACACTTTTTCCCTGGGTCTTCACCAAACCTATATCCTTCCTTTTATATATACACTATATTGCCAAAAGTATTGGGACACCCTTCCAAATCATTGGAATTTAGGTGTTTCAATCACCTCCATGGCCACAGGTGTATAAAACCAAGCACCTAGGCATGCAGATGCTTCTACAAACATTTGTGAAAGAATGGGTCGCTCTCAGGAGCTCAGTGACTCCAAGCGTGGTACCGTGATAGGTTGCCACCTGTGCAATAAGTCCATCTGTGAAATTTCCTTGCTACTAAATATTCCACGGTCAACTGTTAGTGATATTATAACATAGTGGAAGCAACTGGGAACAGCAACTCAGCCACCAAATGGGTAGGCCATGAAAAATGACAGAGCCAGGTCAGGGCATGCTGAAGCAAACAGTGCATAGAAGTCACCAACTGTCTGCAGAGTCAATAGCTAAAGACCTCCAAGTTTCGTGTGTGGCCTTAAGATTAGCACAACAACGTGTAGAGAGCTTCAGTGAATGGGTTTCCATGGCCGAGCAGTGGAGATGTGTTCTCTGGATTGATGAATCACACTTCTCTATCTGGCAATCCGATGAACGTGTCTGGGTTTGGAGGTTGCCAGGAGAACGGTACTTGCCAGGCTGCATTGTGCCAAGGGAAAAGTTTGGTGGAGAGGGGATTATTGTGAGGGGTCAGGAGGGCACAAAGGGGTCAGGAGGCAACACAGAGGGGTCAGGAGGCAACACAGAGAGCACAGAGGGGTCAGGAGGCAACACAGAGGGGTCAGGAGGCAACACAGAGAGCACAGAGGGGTCAGGAGGCAACACTGAGGGGTCAGGAGGCAACACAGAGGGGTCAGGAGGCAACACAGAGAGCACAGAGGGGTCAGGAGGCAACACAGAGGGGTCAGGAGGCAACACAGAGAGCACAGAGGGGTCAGAAGGGCACACAGAAGGGTCAGGATGGTATGGGACTAGGGGACAGGAGGGTACAAGTGTTTACCCGATGAAGAGCTGCTCAGGAAAACTGCTATGGCACAGCTACCTGTTCTGGTGTGTTGATCCCGCCGGTCCTCCTCTTTTGCCTCATGTCAAGTTCAAGCACACCTACTGGAGGGAACTGGAGAGGAGTAGATTGGCACACTGAAGTCAGTGGGACGTGAGCCAGAACTTCTGCTAGCAAATCCTAGGTGGCAGAGTCATTCACCGCCCCGCAGCCACACATTAAGGGGAGTGCTGCGAATCGGGGAATGCCTCTGCTTCCCGGATTGAAAGCTCAGGTGACAAGACACCAGAGCTCATGCCTTCTCTCCTCTGTTAGCCAATGGGGGATGTGGAGGGTGGAGAATTTGCGGGTCAGCAGGACAGGGACTTGATCTCGATCTAGCTGTCATCTGCCCGCGGTCGACAGGTCAATCACAATCGACAGGTTGCCGACCCCTGCCTCAGACTTTGTACACCTTTGGTTTTGACTTACCTGAAATCTATTTAGCTGATTTACACTGAACGTTCAATTAGGCTTCATTGTACAGCAGCCTGTAGTAGTGTATGATAATCCGTTGTCAGAAGCCTGGGAATCACCAACACAAGCCTCTGATATACACTCTCTAATAAGCCTGGAGCATATGTAAATCTATGCAGTTCACATATTACAAAGCATCTTCTTAATTAAAAGTCTCATAGGCCGTATATCATTATGAAATCGTATCCTCATATATTTCTATATACGTTATATATATTTTAATATAGAGCAGGACCATAAACCACTTTTATTGTTTGCATAGATGTATATTATCATTCCCACTATGAATCCACACAGTAGAAAAATAAAAGTACGTCAGTTCAAGCCGGAGGACAGTTGTGTCTTGACAGATCATAGAAAAATGATCATTGTCTAAAATTACAAGAAATATATTCCGCTGCTGAGAGATGAAAAGAATCCTCAACAGGTCTGAGGAAGGTAATGACATATCCTGCACTTAGAATTGTATTAGAACCAACTGAATTATAGTATATTCATCTGATATGGTTTTATAAAAGCTGAAGTTAAGCTGAAAAAACTTTTTTTTTCTCTACAGTTAGTTACATTACCTACCTGTAATGAAGGATGACCCATGATATACAGGCTGCTGGAGTCTGGAGAGACCTTCACTGCAGGGCTGCCCTGTCCTCTTCCTGCTGCTGATCAGACTGTCCCGCATTCAAAGATGGTATTACAGACAGTGTAATCAATGAAAGAACCTTCTCATTGGAGGGGAGGGGAGGAGAAAAGAGGAGGGGGCGTTCCCCGTCAGATCATCTTCAGTACAGCTAAGCCTGAAGCTGTTAATTCTCACAATGCCAGAAGATTATCAGCAGGAAGAGGACAGGGCAGCCCTGCTGTGAAGATTTCTACAGAATCCAGGAGGCTGCACATTGTTGGACATCCATCATTACAGGTAAGTGATGTGACTAATGATGTAGTGAAAAAAAATGTTTTTTTTAACTAAATTTCAGCTGAAATAAGCACTTTGGCAGATATCTAAAGCAGTTCTCCAGTCTCCCCCCAAAAATTTAAAAGTTAGCAACTACAAATTACCTGTCCAGGGATCCAGCACTACCCTCACCCAAGTTGATTCTTAAGTCGGCTTTAGATCCAGGAGCCAGCATCTTAACTGAGGGAAACCAGCAGTGAAGACTTGCAGCTTCACAGCAGGTTCCCCACTACGCATGCACGACCTGCACTACGCTTTGTGAATGGGCCTGCAGTCCTCTAGGACCTGTCATGTGTCCCAGAAGGGTGCAGGGAAAGTAGGGGGAAAACATCCGCTTGGATCGCCCCTCCCAAAAGGTGCCAAATGTTAAAACGGAGGAGGGAGGAGGATACAAATAAGCGGAACTTCCCCTTTTGAGTGAAGTTCTGCTTTAGGACACAAATTAACGCGTAACTCCACTTTAATGCAAAAAAATAATACAGCATATACAATTACAACACAAGCCATGTTATAATATAATGTTAGTGAAAGTGACCTTTCCTTTTCTCTTTAAGTCTGCAGCCTCTGTGATTTCCTGTAAAATTCAATGCAATATGGCAACCTGGAGGGGTTCCCTACACTACTGGTGTACAGAATTCTCCCAGAAACATCATTTCTTTCCTGCTTGTGTGATTGACTCACTGATTTTCCCAGAAATCTGCACTAAGATGTAAGTCGGGTTTTAGGCATCCTCTGCAATACAAACTTGATTTCTGGCAAACTACTCTCAAAGCGTTAATCGCTTCTGGAGGGATGCAGACCCTACCAATTTCCTCATTAGAACACTGCAAGTGCATCAGCTGATTAATAGTGAAAAAGTCACACCCCATTCAAATTCACTTTGCACACAACGAACAGCTTTTTCTTCAGAGAAGAAACTTGTGGGAATCTACAACAAAGTTTGTAAAATCCCTGCTATGTACATAGATCATTCAGAGGGGATTGTATTTTTTTTTCTCAATGAGTTACTGAAGCAGTGTAGAGCTGGCCATAGATGGATCGAAATTTGGTTGGTCCCTGCTAAACCAGCCAAATTTCAATAAATGTATGGGCAGGCTGGTTGTACAGGCGATCGATCGACTTCTGTTCATCCAGCCTGTCAGCTTTTTTTCACTCAATGAGTTACTGAAGCAGTGTAGAGCTGGCCATAGATGGATCGAAATTCAGCTGGTCCCTGCTGAACAAGCCAAATTTCGATCAATCTATGGGCAGGCTGCTTGTACAGCCGATCGATCGACTTCTGTTCATCCAGCCTGTCAGGTTTTTTTTTTTCCACTCGATCAGTGCTGATGATGAAACATAGATCTTTACTCAAACAAAATGTTACTGAAAAAAAAAACCAAACAAAAAATACAAAAGATGTATACAAAAAGAACAGACTTGATGGACCATTTGGTCTTTTTTCTGCTGTCACTTTTCTATGTTTCTGTGTTTTTTTATTTTTAACCAATAGAAAGCTAGTTACTAGGCAAGAAAATGCACAAAAAATGCACGTTACATGCACGTTTGTACATTTTTCAGCATTTTTCTGCTGTCACTATTCTATGTTTCTGTGTTTTTTTTTATTTTTAGCCAATAGAAAGCTAGTTACTAGGCAAGAAAATGCACAAAAAATGCACATAACATGCACTTTTGTACATTTTTCAGCTGCTCCTATTGACACGAGAAGACTCTCCTGTATTTTTTTGAGTGATGAGCTTCAAGTGAGGCTACACTCCGGGTGGCACCATTGAATGGAAATCCTAGTACCTGGTGGAGCTTCAAACCACTTAGATGTGAAAGAAGTCTTATTGTTACCTAACTGCAGCAGAGAAAAAATTTCAGATCTCCTGCTCTGCCAGACAGGGCTGTGCTGTGTGACAAAGCTGTGAAAAATGGACAACATTTTTGCCTGGAGTTCAATTTTAAAGCTGAATTTTAGACAAATATTCCCTGTTTACAGGGACTAAAAGAGATACAGAGCAGCACCATTTATCATTTAAATCTACTTTTATTGCACAGTACTGTCAGTCTAAGGGCTCGTTCACAGTTGGCTGTTTTACCAACGCTTGCCAAATGCCCCTATAGCGTTTGGCAAGCGTTGGTCTGGCGTTTGCGGAGCATTTTTTAACGCTCGGTAAACGCCGCATGCATGGTTTAGCGGCGGTTGCTAGGCGTTTGCCGAGCGTTAAAAACGGCCCACAAATGCCTATAATGCAGTTTGAATGGTGTTACCGCTCCGCAAACGCCCCGCAACTGCACCGCAATCACCGGCTGGGTGTTTGCGGAGTGGCACCATAGACTAGAATAGGAGGCTTCAACGCCTCCTGACTAGACCAGAGGCATCTGTTTTACCGCAACGCAATGCGATGCAAACACTCCCATTAGAACAACACCATGTGCTGTAATGTGCAGAATTGGCAGAGGCGTTTGGAAAGTGGTAGAAACGCTTCCCAAACGCCTCTCTGCCGCCTGCACACAACGCTAGTGTGAGCGTAGCCTAACACTGGCAGTTTGCTGAAAGGAGGAGAGAGTAGAGCGATGATCTCATCAGCGAAGTGATGTTTCCTAATTGTCCAATCACGTAACCAGATTCCTCTGTATTCGCCAACTGCAAACTGTAACAATGTCAAATATTTCACATCCAGCTTCAGACAAGAAAAGGCTCCACACTCAAAAATTGTATTTCAGGTGCTTGCTTGGTTCATCCCCATCAAAGCAATCAATTGTATCGGCAACAGTAATGCTGCACACCAGATGCAAAATAATCCTCCTGTATTAAAATCACCAGCAGGAACAAATTCTATTCTGACATGTTTCGTGCTAGGCACAGCACTTCCTCAAAGAATCTTCTTTTGTTGAGAAAATGCTGTGCCTAGCACAAAACATGTTGGAATACAAGTTGTTCCTGCTAGTTATTTTATTAAAGGAAGATTATTTTGCATCTTGGTATGTGGCATTCCTGTTGCTATTAGTGGCAAATGTAACACTGGCTGTATAATGAATATTGTGAACATAACCAACACTCACATTTTCTGCA